AAAACTGAAAGAAGTAAACCGGTAGGAAGAAAGAAAATTAAAGGCTCAAGTGACTCACTCGGACTTTGATCTAAAGAATTCAAAGCTCTTAAGATAAGGATGAACATACACCTAAAGACGTTAAGTCAGACCTACAAAATTTTGCCCCGTGCAAAATTCTCAGGGCAGGGCAGAAACACGCACCTAAGGGTTGTCATTCACTTGCTAAGGGAGGGGTCACCATTCATTTCTGGGTCCCAGTGTGCGCACACTCCAAGTGTCCGTCAGGCTCTCAGCCTGGGCCCTGCCCATAAGCCTTTCCTTGTTGAAGTGATCAATTCCGATTCTTGGCAATAATCCCTTTAAAAGGCCAGCTGCCGCTGTCTAGTCACTGATGCCGACCCACTCCAGGTGGGAAAAAAGAAATGAATGGAGCAACTGCCTAGATGGGGAGGCAAATTTAAAGTGTCGGGCCTTGAGATAGGCTGGAGATCAGAGAGGGGGAAGGGTCCCGCGGCTCCCGGGGGTCAGGCAGGAAGGGCGCGAGCGGGGGGAGGGCCGGCCCTCCAGGCGTGGGCGCGCGGGGACTCTTATTCTGACACGGGATCCTCCGCCGCCGCCGCCGCCGTCGCCGCCGCCGCCGCGGGGTTCAGCGCTGCTGCCCTGCTCGCCTGGGACCCCCGCCCCCGAGCGGGACCCCCGCCCCGCGCGCCCACGTGCCGCCTGCCCGCCGCCCCCACCCGTCCCGACTGCTCGGAAGAGGCGCCTCGCGGCCCAGCCCTTCCCCCGACCCCGCAGGAAGAGCAGGACGGAAGCGGGGCGAAGCCGCGACTTTCCGGGACCCCCGCCCCGCCCGGCCCCCACGTGCCCGGGCCGCCTCGGGGCGAGGAACTTTCCAGGGCAGCGCAAGAAGACGCTCCCAGAATACAAGGAGTAGAACTCGCTCGCTCTCACTTTTCCACGCTCTTGCGGGGGTACCTCACAGCCCCCCGAGGCCCCGACCCTTCGCGGCCCGCGCCGCTCCAGTCTCAGCCGCACGTCCCCGGCCCCCGCCCCCCGCCAAGTTTGGTCCAGAACTTACCGGGCCGCGGGTCGGCCGGGCCCTAGGGCAGCGCGCGGGTTCGTGGGGCTGCGGGGCTGGGGCCGGGGTCGCCCGCGGGGCCGGGCGGCGGAGGGGCCGGGGGCGCCGGGCCGCGCGCGCTCGTTCCGCCTGTGGGGCCGCCCGGGCCCGCGGCGCTCGCTCCGCCGGTCCGCCCGCCCGCCCGCGCCGCCGGCCAGATAATGCGCCCCTCGGCCGCACACATGGAGCCCGGCGCCGGCGTCACCGCCCGGGACATGCGCACCAGGTCAGCGCGCCCGGCCCGCGGCCCCCAAAACACCGGGGAGCTCTTAAAGGCGACGCCGCCCGCCCGCGCCCGGCTGGGCGGGGCCCTGCGACCGAGGGGCGGGGCCGAACGAGAAGGGAGGAGCTCGTGGGCGGGGCTCCTGGCGTAGAAGGCGGGCCCCTGAATCGAGGGGGCGGGGCCGGCCGGTCCCGCCCCGGAAGCACCGCCCCTCTCCGGCGCGCTCCCACGCGACACCTCGCTGGGCGCGCTGGTTTCCCACGCCGGCTCCAGCCGGCTCCCTCCCCGGAGAGTCCCAGCGCCCTCCGCAGGCCGAGGGGTCGTCGCCAGCTCACCGGCGGCAGAGCCGGGCGGGCCGCACCCAGGGCTGACTCACGACGCGCTCACTGCTGACCTCGCGCCAGCTGAGCTGGGCGACCTCAAGCAACTCAGGGTTGCCTTTGAAACGCGAGTTAGAATGTCACCCCAGCGGGGTCGTCACGCAGAAGCTCTTCTCTGGGAACTTCGGCCCCGGTGTCTGTGGGGAGGGCGGGCTGCGGTTCGGCTGAACGATCACTTCTCCAGCGCAGTGAACAGAGTTCTACAAAGAAAGCTCCAGACCCACCCACCTTAAGACACTTGGGGATAACTGCTCTCCCTCTCCAATTACCTCCCAATCTGCCCTCGTGCCTCTGGGAGAAGGTGAACCCCCCTCAAGAAAGCAAATCTGCATCCTTCCCTCTCCAGTGACAGGGAGGAAACACAGGAGACAGAATGAAAACCTGAAAGAGAATGGACTTTGGAGATGTTAAACTACGTAAAGCAAAATATAACTTTATCAAGTTCATGGAAAATCTAGGACCACAAGGCGGCTCTCAATACCAAAGTCAGGTTCTGAAGAATCCCCAAAACCGCCTATTTTCATGTTGTTTTAAAACAAACAATTCCTGATAAGACACCTAGACTCCTGAAGAGTGATGACAAAATGTTTCATCGCATACCCTAATACATCTACATGTACAACTGAAAAGTTTCACCAAACATAAATTTACCACATGCAAGGTAGTTATCTTCTATTCTGCTTCATTTGAAAAGAAAAGGTAACACCTACCAATGGCTGGGTCTCAACCGTAAACTGGAAAAACACTTTATGTAGAACAAGTTTTACAAAACATTTTTTCTAAAAAGAAAAAAATAATTATTTTTCTGCTGTATGTCACCTTAAACAGAAAGTTCAAAAAAAGCTCCTTTCAGCGGGTGCGGTGGTTTATGCCTGTAATCCCAGCACTTTGGGAGGCCAAGGTGAGTGGATCATGAGATCAGGAATTCAAGACCAGCCTGACCAACACGGTGAAACCGTCTCTACAAAAAATACAAAAATTAGCCAGGTGTGGTGTCACCCACCTGTAATCCCAGCTACTCAGAAGGCTGATGCAGAAGAATTGCTTGAACCCAGGAGGCGGAGGTTGCAGTGAGCCAAGATCGCACCACTACACCCCAGCCTGGGCAACACGGTGAGACTCTGTCTTAAAAAAAAAAAAAAAAAAAAAAAAAGAAAAAGAAAAAAAAAAAAGGCCAGGTGTGGTGGCTCACACCTGTAATCCCAGCACTTTGGGAGGCCAAGGCAAGGGGATCATGGGGTCAGGAGATCAAGACCATCCTGGCCAACATGGTGAAACCCCGTCTCTACTAAAAATACAAAAATTATCTGAGTGTGGTGGTGCATGCCTGTAATCCCAGCTCCTCGGGAGGCTGAGGTAGGAGAATCACTTGAACCCGGGAGGCAGAGGTTGTAGTGAGCCGAGAATGTGCCACTGCACTCCAGCCTAGCGACAGGAGCGAGACTCAGTCTCAAAAAAAAGAAAAGCTCCTTTTTAATTCTGTGTTGAGTTCTATATACAATTGTCAATTTTTTGTAGTTGATTTCGCTCCCACACACATACCCCAAAATCTTCCCAGTACTTAATGCAGCATCTGGTACAACCTCCAATAGGCCAAAAGAGAATTCAACCTAAAAGTGATACAAAATACAAATTGTTGACCCCCCAATCACTTTCTCTGACCCAGTTATGTCAGTAACTTGCTTTGCTTTGCTACAAAGAAATTCATTGTTTCCTATATCTAAAAAAGAAAAAAAAAAAAAAAAGAAATTCAAAGTTCAATTTCAGAAACCAAACAAACAAAACAGTCTTATTCTCAAACAGGTAACTTGGTACAGGAATTCAGAGAGCTCCCTGATCCCAAGTGCAAGCATAGTTTAGGGCAAATATCCAGGTTTTTCACCCTAACTTGGTGGCTGTATATTTTGAGAACCGCTTTATGCTACGATGATGAATCACATGATGTATATTAAAGCAATACAAGCAAAATATTATCTCACTGCTCCTCACCTGGGTCTTGATTAATGTCAATTTAATTAACTACAAACAGAGCAAAGTGTGGTCAGGTGGGAGACCTGAGACTTGAGCCAGATATACGGATTCCAGAGTTTGAGCTGGCAAGCTCTATGTGAGTCCCCAAGGTGACAACCACCCTTTTTTGTTTTTTAAAGAGGGAGGCATCAACTGAAACATATCAATGACACACCCCGGTGGACTGAGGGGTGCACTGGTGAAAAGTGGGTTGCTCCAGAGAGGAGTGCCAACTTCTCAGCCGGGAAAGTCAGGTGGGAAGTAGGAGGATTGGGGGGTATGCTGGTGGAGTGAAATAGCTACAGGGCTACAGGGTTGATTCTGTCATAGGACAAGAGGGGCCAGGAGGGTAGATGGATAAGTAGTAGGGAATCCAGATCTGCCTGGGGTCCCATAGGCTCAGGCTGGGTGAATGCTGAGGCTGTTTGGATTAAAGACCTTTCTGCCTCAGAGCCCAGTGCTGGACTAAACAGCAAATAGTTCAGCTGGGTAATTATGAAATATGATGCAATCACCTTCAGATGCCATTCTAAAGCTGAAGAAACTCTAATTAAGAGACAGCTAGGGCCAGAACCATGTTTTCTAAAAGTTTTCTCTTTGCCCTGAAAACAAGATAGTCAATACTTAGTGACGGCTGGGTACAGTGGCTCACCTCTGTAATCTCAGCACTTTGGGAGGCTGAGGCGGGTGAATCACCTGAGGTCAGGAGTTTGAGACTAGCCCAGTCAACATGGTGAAACCCCAACTCTACTAAAAATACAAAAATTAGCCAGGGACAGTGGTTCACGACTGAATTCCAGGCAGGAGAACTGCTTGAACCTGAGAGGCGGAGGTTGCAGTGAGCCCAGATCACACCGCTGTACTCCAGCCTGGCAACAGAGCGAGACTCTGTCTCGAAAAAATACAAAAATTAGCCAGGCATGATGGCATGCACCTGTGATCACAGCTACTCGGGAGGCTGAGGCAGGAGAATCGCTGAACCCGGGAGGCAGGGGTTGCCATAAACCAAGATCATGCTACTGCACTCTAGCCTGGGTGACAGAGCCAGACTCCATGTCAAAAAAAAAAAAAAAAGCAAACAAACAAAACTTAATGATAGCAGTTGTTAATACTGTACTTTCAAAACACCTGTTATTTAGTTAAAATTTTCTTCCAGGCTGAGCACAGTGGCTCACAACTGTAATCCCAGTACTCTGGGGGGCCAAGGTGAGAGAATCACTTGAGGCCAGGAGTTTGAAACCAGCCGGTTGACATAGTGAGATCCCATCTCTATAACAAAGGAAAAATTGGCTTCTCAGCTCCGCTTAATCACACAAGTCCAGTGTGTGCTTGGCATGTTTTCAGGGAGGCAAAGAAAGGCTCTCCTAATGCACAACAGAACCGCCTAGAATGGCCTCCCTGTTCTTAGGAGTACGACAGTTTTTGGGTAAAAAAAATTAAAAAAAAAAAAAAAAAAAAAAAAAGAGGCCAGGCATGGTGGCTCACGCCTGTAATCCAAGCACTTTGGAGGCCAAGGCAGGCGGATCACCTGAAGCCGGGAGTTCAAGACCAGCCTGACCAACATGGTGAAACCACGACTTTAAAAAAAAAAGAAAGAAAAAAAATTAGCCAAGTATGGTGGCACATGCCTGTAGCTCCAGCTACTCAGGGAGCTGAGAGAGAAGGATCACTCAAGCCCAGAAGTTTGAGGCTGCAGTGAGCCATGATTGTGGCACTGCACTACAGCCTAGGTGACAGAGTAAGACCCTGTCTCAAAACAACAACAGAAAAAATCTTCCAAATTCATTTTAAACTTCATTGTCTTTCATAGACCACATCCCACTAATAATAGCTAAGCCACTTTCTACCTTAACCACAGGAAAATAGTCTAATGATCTTTCAAGTGTACTCACAAACTTCTAAACACCACCTGAGCCTGTCCCTACACAACTGAGGGACTGAAGAAAAGAAATTGGGGTCAAATTCCATGTTGATGTCTGCTTTTATAGCAGAAATTGGCCAAAGGCTCCAAAGTAGTGTGAAACTACTGAAAAAGAGTAGCATCACCTACTGAATGTTCAAGGTACTGTACTTGAACAGAAATCAGAAAATTTCTTTGAAGTTCTTGGTGGACAACATACAAGATGACTTATGTGATCAACGCTGATTGGCAACTGAGAGACCACTCATCCCAAGGGTTCTGCAGCCCAAGAAGCTTACAGGCACATACTCCAGAAGCTGACAGGCTGGTGCCACTGAAAGACACAAAATGATTTCAATGCAGAAAATGTATTCATAAGAAAGACTGAGGAACTGGCTGGGCACAGTGGTTCATGCCTGTAATCCCAGCACTTTGGGAGGCTGAGGCAGGCAGATCACAAGGTCAGGAGTTTCAGACCAGCCTGGCCAACATGGTGAAACCCTGTCTCTACTAAAAATACAAAAATTAGCTGGACACGGTGGCAGGCACCTGTAATCCCAGTGACTCAGGAGGCTGAGGCAGGAGAATTGCTTGAACCTGGGAGGCAGAGGTTGCAGTGAGCTGAGATGAGCCACTGCATTCCAGCCTGGGTAACAGAGCAAGACTTTGTCTCAGAAACAAACAAACAAGAAAGACTGAGGAATCACAGAGGAAAGGACAGCTTCCTTCCCAGAGGGGTCTGGGAAATCTTTGTGGATTGACATTTGAGCCAGCTGTTAAGGGATGAGTTATGATGAGCGTCCCAGGCATTAAAAACAGCAGGGGCAAAGGCCAGAGCCAGCTATACCAAAACACCTGGAGTTGGGGACTTTGGGGAGAAAAGGGCTGAAAAAGAATGGATTCATTATCCTTTAAACTTCCTAAATGTTTTTCCCTCTGAAAACAGAATGAAGTCAACTACTCAAATTCACAAACTAAGCAGACCTAAGTTAAACAGACCAAGTTATGTAGGTTTAGCCAATTCTGAGATTATTGCTCTCAGTGATACTGGGTTCCTACATATTTTCTGAGAAAGTCTCTAAAGAATACACAAGTTGTTCATTCAAAAGGTACACTAAAGGCCAGGAGCAGTGGTTCACACCTGTACTCCCAGCTACTCGGGAGGCTAAGGCAGCAGAATCAATTGAATCCAAGAGGCAGAGGTTGCAGTGAGCCAAGATTGCACCACCCTGCACTCCAGCCTGGGCAACAAGAGCGAAACTCCATCTCAAAAAAAAAATTAAAAAATAAAATAATAATAATAATAGGCCGGGCGCGGTGGCTCAAGCCTGTAATCCCAGCACTTTGGGAGGCTGAGGCGGGTGGATCACGAGGTCAAGAGATCAAGACCATCCTGGTCAACATGGTGAAACCCCGTCTCTGCTAAAACTACAAAAAATTAGCTGGGCATGGTGGCGCGTGCCTGTAATCCCAGCTACTCAGGAGGTTGAGGCAGGAGAATTGCCTGAACCCAGGAGGCGGAGGTTGCGGTGAGCCAAGATCGCGCCATTGCACTCCAGCCTGGGTAACGAGCGAAACTCCGTCTCAAAAAAAAAAAAAAAATAATAATAATAATAATAATAAAAGGCTGGGCACAGTGGCTCACCCCTGTAATCTCAGCACTTTAGGACGCCCAGGCAGACAGATCACGAGATCAGGAGATCGACACCATCCTCACCAACATGGTGAAGCCACGTCTCTATTAAAAATACAAAAAAATCAGCCAGGTGCAGTGGCTCACGCCTATAATCCCAGCACTTTGCGAGGCCAAGGCGGGGGATCACAAGGTCAGGAGTTCGAGAACAGCCTGACCAACATGGTGAAACCCTTTCTCTACCACAAAATACCAAAAAAAAAAAAATTAGTTGGGCATGGTGGCACGCAGCTGTAATTCCAGCTACTCAGGAGGCTGAGGCAGGAGACTTGATTGAACCCGGGAGGCAGAGGTTGCAGTGAGCCAAGATTGTGCCACTGCACTCTAGCCTGGGCGACAGAGCAAGACTCTGTCTTAAAAAATAAATAAATAAAATACAAATAAAAACACAAAAACTCAGCCGGGTGTGGTGGCACGTGCCTGTAGTCCCACCTACTCAGGAGGCTGAGGCAGGAGAATCACTTGAACCCAAGAGGCAGTGAGTCGAGATCGTGCCACTGGACTCCAGCCTGGCCAAAGGAGTGAGATTGTGACTCAAAAAAATAAAAAGTACACACACACACAAAAAGTACACAAGTTTTTTTCTTTTAATTACCCTTATGAAAAAAGAGCACTGATTACTTTCTTTTTTCTTTCTTTTTTGAGACAGAGTCTTGCTCTGTTGCCCTGGCTGGAGTGCAATGGTGTGATCTCAGCTCACTCCAACCTCCACTCCTGGGGGTCAGGTGATTCTTGTGCAGAAGCCTCCGGACTGGCTGACACAACAGGCGCATGCTACCACACCGGCTAATTTTTGTACATTTAGTCAAGACAGTGTTTCACCATGTTGGTCAGGCTGGTCTCAAACTCCTAGCCTCAAGCAATCCTCTGCCTCCCAAAGTGCTAAGATTATAGGCAGGAGTCACCACTCCCTGTCCTACTTCCTGTACTTTGCATTTTTAGTACCCTAAACTTTAAAACTGTTTTCATTAAGTTTAGAGACAATATAACAACAATCTCTAAGGGACAATCATTTTAAAGTTTATTTCCCCCCAAATTCATGTTTACATGGTGAGATTACAATGAAATTGGCTGGGAAAGGAAAGGAAAAGATTAATTAAGTGATTTTTATTTCCTTAATACTTTGATACTCTTGATTCTTGGGGGGGGGACCAGAAAATAGTTACAGGGACTCTTACAGTGATGCTTTATGAAAAATACAATACTTCCAATGCATTACCTCTGCTACAAGGGTCATCTTTGCATTCATGACATTCTCACACTAGATCAGGAGTTTGTGGGACATGGGTCAGCAGCCCCCGTAGTCCCCATCCCCATTATTTATGCTGAAAAGCTCCGCAACTCTCTAGGGATGGTCCACTTTGTTAGTGTGTGTTTGTTTTGAATGTCATTTCTAACCACTATTCCTTACACTCAGTGTTTCTGCAGCGCAGGGTTCAGGCTCCATCTGCAGTTAGGCAGACTCTGTCCAGAGTGAGTCTCTGTATGGCCCTGGCGCTGTCCTGCTTCTCCAAGGTTCTGGATAGGAATGTTCCCCTAAAGGGTTAAGCACAAACTGCTCACAAGGGCTGTCCTGAACCGGAAGTGTATCTCCCACTCTGTCTTCATCTGCCATGTGTCACTAGTTGGCAAGGAATATCTCTTTTGTGTCTACATATGGTTTCCAAAAAAAATCCCACCTAACTTGGATCAATTTTAAGTCTTGAATAGTTAAGAAGTAAATGGTTTTCTATGAATTAAAGATTAAAAAAAAAAATTCAGAAAACTACCAGGTAAAACAAAAAGGCTGTATGACAGCCTCGAGTCTAGAGATCAGCCTATTCAAACCTGCCAAGCAAAGAGTTAGTCACATCATCAGTCTAATAAATATCCTTGGTTGGACATGCAGAAAAACATTATTTTTAAAACTTGGCATCTATTTCACACACTATTCCCCATTTGTTAAATGACAGATCTTCCAACTTGGGAAAACATTCCTCCCAAATTTTTTTCCTAACAGGATGCGTACTCCCCGAACCCCCATTTATAGTGAAATGCCCATAATCTATTTTTAAAAACACAGGTGGAGTGCCTTTCTAGTTTGTTTTCTCTTTCACAGCTTGATAATAAACAACCATGCCCTCTTGCATGCCCACATAATCAGTTCTATATGTAACCAACTCCTGTTTTGGGAAGAGTAAGATATTTACTTCAAATTTAGGTCAAAAAGTTAACCTTGAATAGAGACAATTTGAGAGATTAAATATAAAGGCTAAAATTTGAAACTGCAGTGAAAGTTTAAAAATTGGCTGGGCAAGGTGGCTCACGCCTGTAATCTCAGCACTTTGGGAGGCCCAGGTGGGCAGATCATTTGAGCCCAGGAGTTTCAGACCAGCCTGGGCAACATGGCAAAACCCCCATACCTACAAAAAAGAATACAAAAATTAGCAGGCTTGAGCTTGGGAGGTCAAGGCTGTAGTGAGCTGTGTCACTACTGCCACTGCACTCCAGCATGGGCAACAGAATGAGACTCTGTCTCAAAAAAAAAAAAAAAAAAAAAGTAAGGTTTTGAGGGTTTTTTTTTTTTTTTTTTTTTGAGATGGAGTCTCACTCTGTAGTCCAGGCTGGAGTGCAGTGGCATGATCTCAGCTCACTGCAACCTCCAACTCCCAGGTTCAAGCAATCCTCGTGCCTTAGCCTCTTGATTAGCTGGGATTACAGACATGCACCACCACACCTGTCTAACTTCTTGTTTTGTTTTTGTTTTTTTGAAGTCTCACTCTGTTGCCCAGGCTGGAGTACAGTGGCATGATCTCGGCTCACTGCAAACTCTGCCACCTGGGTTCAAG